GTGACTTTACCGAAAGAACCAAGAAGATGAATTGGCTAAGGCTTCAATAAATTCGCGGGCAAGATTCTGTGATCAAAAGAAAGATTTCAACACAAGTCTCCCTGTGAGTGGAATCGTAACGTAGGTTTCTAAACGTTTAGTTTAATAAATTAATGCATTGGTACAGTTATGCAATGAACAAAAAGAACGACTAAAATACTTCTAAACGACCATATCCATGTAACTCAATGAGCAGCAGTGTTATTCATTATCAGCTAATAGTTGACGCACTCTTATCATTAGTTTTATTATTAGTCCCGATATGTGCATTATGTGCGTGTTGGTGGTTTGTCTTCTTGTTCAACTCTTTGCGTTAAGCAGACGCCGGGCGATGCGTTGTGAGTGTGTGAGTGTGGGGGAGGGGCATACAAACAGGTTCCTCGCTCTCTCTCGCTCGGCAGCAGCTGCTTGTCCACTGCTCGATGAAGAGAGTCAGCACGACGCTCGCCGTCGGCGGTGCACGATGATTCCATCGTCAGATAGCGCCCGCAGCTCGTCCGCTGGTCGCCGTTCCTCACTCTTGTCTTGGTTCCCAGCTGGTGCTGGTCGGCGTGTGTGGGTCGAATCCACGGCGCTCTCGCCGGCGCTCTCCTCTTCCTCACGGGAAGCTGGTCAGGCTCTTTCCCCTGCTCCCTGCTCTCTCCTTGATCGTGCAGCTGCCAGGTGGGAGCTGGCACTGGATGTAGAATAACTTCGAGCGATACTTCGTCTGTCAGTGCCGAACTCGTATTCGGTGACACATCGCTACTCGGCAAGCCTCGCCATCCTTGCCGTTTGCAGTACTGGCTCTTTGCGTTTACTTCGTAGACTCGTGGCTTCTGCTGATGCAGCTCGTTGATGATGTGCCAGTCACGGGGGCAGGTTCCCGGAGCCTGCCGATAGCAGCACTGCTGGCTTGATCGATGCTTGGTGTTTTCCGCCCTTCCTCGAGGTTGATTGATTGACGTTGCTCGTCACTCTTTCTCTCGGGCTGCTGCTCGTGGGAGCTGGCACTCACTCTCAAAACTTATAAATTGTATTCGCACACCTCTTACACAACTGTGAAAGCTTAGTACAATACAACTTATCACAATCCTTGACTCTGCAAGTGACTCAAAACATCAGCATAACTGTAGAATAAAACTTTCAGCGATACTCTGTCGGTCCATGCCGATCACCCCGCCCCACTTCTCTGCGAGACAACACCCATTGTTGATCTCGAGGCAATGCCCCGGAGTCTGCACGTTGCAGTATTCTCTTGCATGATCTGTCATTGGTTATATGTGAAATTATCTCCCCTCTGTGCGTCTCTTGCGAGAGAAAAAACAGATGCCCTCTGTCTGTCCTCCTCCCGTGGCCGCCTGGTTGCCCCCCCCCCTTTTTGACCTTTGACTGTTTTACCATCAAATTTTGTTTGTTTGCATTCCCCGCCCCCTCTCTTCGTGGTCTAAGCTAAAAGGGAGGGGAGGCACTCTCCCTTCATACGTATTTTATGGCTACCATGTGTTGTGTTAAATTGTTGGAAGACAAAGGTGGCCAGGAAGGCTGATTCCATGGAATACATATGTGTTTGACCTATTTTTCTTGCATCTATTTTGAGTTACCCCTGGTCTAATATCTCGTGGTTATTATTTGGTTTATGTTTAACCAAGACTCGTAATGCCCCTTGTTGTTACCACCACTATTCCAAGGGTTTTGCTAAGCTTTGTTCTCAGTCCGTGTCGCCAGGGATCGGTGTTTTATTCTCGAGTTATGTTTTGATATCCGGAGGTTGGAGATATAGCTTAGTTTTGACTTAAGCTTTCTTGACTGCCGGAATTCATATTCCCTGGTTCTCTTGGTAAAGTCACGTAGATAGAAAGATACAATAAGAAATACAATAAGGAATACTGCAGTCTATAATGTCGACTTATTCTTATAGCCAAGTTTCGAACTTTTACCGTATTAGAAGAAAAATGTTCAGTTATAATGTCCGTTTGTCCCTGCTACGTGCCTGTGTTTTACGGCTCTGCAGATTTGTTTGTGAACTGTCCAAAACGTCCGTGGGGAGGTCATGGCATGCGGTCCTTTGACAATCTGGAGATTTCCCAGATCGTCGTTAACCCCTCTTTGCCCCGGAGTTACATTTTAAATGTTTTTTATGACCTCCAGATGCTTGGTGTGGCTTGTGCGAGGTAGCGGGGTGACGGTGTTTGTTCCATTTATTTATTTATTACTTCAAAATATATTGGCAGAATTATTTTTAATATGAAATTTTGGAAAAAGGCCTACAGGTACAACAAGACCTTTTCAGTAAATACCCTGAATGAGTACTCTTGCAGTATTTCCAGCCAACGTGAATGCTGGCCAGAAGGCTGGTCGACTCGCAAGGAATACTGGGGGGCCACGTGGTCCGGGCAAACTACAAAGTCCCTGCCATAAAAATATGGCCTATAATGCTGTATAAAATATACCATGGCCAAAAGCTCCCTGCAGGTTAAGCAATAGCACTGCTCTGTGATGGACAGGACACGATTACCATATGCGACCACACTTTAAACGCCATTCTTTAACTGGGACAAGACAGCGCTATGCCCATATCACTGGCATCCATATCTAACACGAATGGCAAGGAGAAATGCGGATAGCCAAGGGGAGGCGCATTATCAAGGTGATCACGCAGTGCGGCGAATGCATCCTCCTCCTCCCCCCCATCAAAACCTTTGGTTTTTAGCGGTCAAAGCATTAAGTGGTTTGGCAATCGTCGCGAATTGAGGAATAAACCGCCATTAATAGGATGCAAACCCAATAAAACTGCAAACTTCACCCACCGACTTGGGAGTTGACCAATCACAAACGCACGCCGTTTTGTCCAGATCCGTGGCTATTCCGGAAGCGCTGACAATGCGACCCAAATACCGCACTTGAGATTAGCGGACCGTATCCTGACGAACATAGAATGCAACCGCTGCAAATGCTCATCAAAAGTGTGCCCGGACACAATGACGTCGTCGAGATAAATAAAGAATGAATCCCATTGTAGACTTGCCAAGACCATTTCCATTAGCCTTTGGAACATGCCTGGCACCAAATGCAACCCCATAGGAAGGCAGTTAAACCGGAATACTCCCTGGGGAGTTCGGAATGCAGTTTTTGGTTTGGAATCCTCGTCAAGGGGTAGGAGTATGGGTCTTGGTTGATACGGGTGCCTCGGCTACCATCATTTTGGATGTGATTCATGAACCGTTGTATTAGGCCGGTCGCAAACGCGTGTGTTGCTATCAACGTGAGGAGCATGGGGATTGTTGGACAAATAGAGGCACGCATCAGGATCGGTGAAATCACGATGTCCGGTCCTGTAATGGTTTCGAGGACGTTGGCAGTGCCTTACCTCCTGGATTACTTTTTCGGCAAGATGCCTCTGAAAATTTTGACCGACCAGGGCTGTGTTGAGATGCCGTCAGGAGGGCAGTTACCCTTTTTGCATTCTCCAGGTAGGGTGACTGTGGCCACCCCCATGGTCCAAGCACTGGCGAGGGAATGTTGAAATCCCGCCGGGTGCGCAGATGTTGGTTCCACTGCACTACCATAAGTGGCTACAGTTCGCCGATTCCTTGAACAGAGCGACTTGGGGCCCCACGCTAGTGGGTGCTCAAGACGGTCCGGAGGACGGACCGGAAGCTATTCCTGCAAGTGTTAAACGTCGGGTTGGGAACAGCTATTGTCCAGACCGGCAGTCTTGGCTCACGCGATGGCTGCGGGCTGTGAAGCAGTCGACCCAGCTGCAGCAAGGGTCGTGGCCGCAGTAAAACAGGGAGGCGAGTCGGATAGCACATGGGCAGACAAGTTGTGCGCATAGAATCCGGACTTGTCTCGAGAGCAACGGGACGAGTTGCGTACCTTGCTGCCGGAATTCACTGATTTTCAGCCAGGGAAAATTTAATATCGGCCACAACCCTTTGCTGCAACACCGCATTGACACTGGCGATGTAGCTCCCATTAGGCAAAACTCGTATAGGCTGAGCCCAAGGGAGAAAGAAAATGTTCAGCAGGCGGTTGAGGAGATGTTGGCCGCTGACATTATTTCTCCCTCTACCAGCCCTTGGGGCGCCCCCATGGTGCTAGTTAAAAACGGGATGGGAGCCTGCGGTTTTGCCTCGCTTTTCGCAAACTAAATAAGGTCTCAGTAGCTGCATATCCCCTCCCCTGGATGGACAATTCCCTGGACGCGTTCTCGGGTGCATGGTTCTTCTCGACTCTTGATTTGTTAGCGGGGTTTTGGCAGATACCCCTTGACGAGGGCGACTTCCACGGCGAGATGACCCCGATTCCCACGAACAGCCTCGAGCTCCCTCACCCCTTTATGCTTGCAGTGGGGCCAGGACCCACGCTGGCCACGCCCCCCTTCTCGAACCTTATAGCTGGTTCTGGGAGCTCATAGATGGATATATTCTATGACCCTTGGTGCAGTTTTTCCCCTTGGGTAGGTACACCCGCAATTGCTACTCCTGGTCACCATTATTATCAAAACATGTTCTGTGTTTTACAACGAGCATGATGTGTGTTTAATGCCAACTCTGATGCCTTGCAATAATAGGCATGTGTGTCCATTGGTGTTTGAACATCTTGACACAACTCCTGTGGTATTATTGCCGGAAAGGGTATAAATGCCATAATAAAGGTTTTTGGGTTAGATCGTGCACGTTTCAATGTGTCGTAACCCTCCACCACCCGACACAGCCGGTAAGGTGTCACGTAAACAAAATGTGCCAATTAGTTACTACTTCAGCCCACTACACTACTATACACTACACATTACACTACTATACACAACACTGCACTATACACTACAATATACACTAGACTACTATACAATACACTACTATGCACTACACAACTCTAAAATTACACTACTATGCCAGATTTGAAAATCGACCTTCACGTGTGTTGATCCAATGCTGGCTTTGATTAATGTATGGCCTTCGATAAGTGAACAGCTTCCTGCAGTGCACAACTTAAGGCAGGGGTGCCACAGTGGCTAGAATGTGTTAACTACCTCGCCTGGTATACAGGTCTTGGGTTCGATCCTGACCCTAACGCCTGTTGTATATCATCACGGTGGCTCAGAGATGTTCACTACCTCGCCTCGTATACAGGAGGTCGCGTAGGTTTGATCCCGACCATGACGCCTGTGTATTTGGCGTTTGCATGCCTTTCTCTCTCCTCGTGGTTGCGTGGATTTTTCTCCAGGTCCTCCGGTTTTTTCCTTATAATCAACATCACCACGCGTTTAAAGTAATTTGGCTGTTGCTATGAATGTTCATGTAATGATGATAAGCGCACTTCGTTGAGCTATCATTTGTGATGGCCACGTTGCTTTTGAAAAAGAGCTACAAAGCTCAGTGGGGCGATTTGTCTATACCAGACAGAGCAATTATGTGTATCCTTCTTCTGTTTACCCAGGCATTTGCTTTGTTGAAAGTAACAAAACATACTGGAGGCTAGGTAAGGATGCTGTGGTTGTAAACTCACTTTACCCGATTCTAGTGGCTAACTGTTGAGTAAATCACATTCGAGTAAGTACGAAAATTGTTTCTGTCTTCCGATGTGCCAGTTACACGTTCCACCCGCACTGCATCGTACGTGATCGGAGTCTCCCTCACGACCTGTGGAATGGACACACAGAAGTAAATGCTCAAAGCGAGAATAAAAACCGTGGGCATTTTCAACGCTCACCGTACCACGGGCAGAGGTCGGTCAATGCAAGTTCCCTTTAACACGCAGTAGTAGTCGGGCTTTCGCGACCAAAATTATCCATAGAGTTATTTTGGGTTAGATTGCATGGATATAAATGCGACGTTAAACCCGCCACCACCCCGAGACACAGCCAATTAGCAAGGGGTTTGTGTCAAGTAAAAAAAGGGCGGCTAATTCGTTACTAGTTGAGCACTAACCAGTTGCGCGTTGGAGAGTAAACCCACCACAACATCTACAATTCGAGTAGCCATAACGTTTCGCCGGTAATTACAAAAATAACAACAACAAGCAGCAACATCAGGCAGACAGCCACAGTTTTGTGGAGAAATCCTCCTATTTCGGTTTTAAGTGGAGCGGAGGGTGTCAATGTGATGTCGTCACTTGTGAGAACAATCAGGTGATAAGACCAGAGGGGGGACAATTGGTGGGGGTTAATGTATGCATATAAAAACCCTTTGTAATTATTATGGATAAAGCAAGTTGACCTTTATGGGTCCCGACGTTCGTCACGTTAATGTTCGCCGACTCATTTCGACTTGGCTCTCGACCACATTGTTACGCGTGCGCTGGAACAGGATAAAATGAATCCACGACAGAATGAAGGATAATCTATGTTCATGCTTTAGAACCATATATGGAGTAATGGGCCGTGGCTTTGCCCATGTAAGGAATTGTGGAACGAGAATCGTCGTGTTTTTATTGTTTCAATGGTCGATTAAACGGGAATTGACTGATTTTTTACAATATAAAGCTTGATCCGTGCTTGATCCACACTCGAACATTTTTAAATCGTTACAGTGATTTCTGTCTCATGATTTGTGGCTCGAAAAAGCCCACATGAAGCCACCCCCTGACGCTGACTGGCTTCCGTCTACATGGACGTAACTTATATATCATTCATTCTGTCGCGGATTAATTTTATCCTGTTACAGCTCGAATTCACTTCGACGCCTGCAATGTTCAGACAGGCCACGGTGGGGCCACAACGGTTGGAGGGGGGTTGATATAATCACCCCACCTATATAGACAGCGGTTCAGATATTAAGGAGACAGCATTGCCAGAGGAGGAGACATCGGCGTGGCTGAGACGTCACGTTTGAATGGGGCAGAAAGCATTAAGGCACTTTTGGAGTTGAAGACGGCAGCCTTCACGCGCGGCCCACTCTGTTAAGTGAGAAATCATGACTACCGTCGACGTAGCGACTGAACATTGATCATCGATCTCCCGGTCTCCAGATTACCAACAATAACAACCGCCATTCACCACTAAGTGGCGGTGATGTCACCATGACAACAATAACACACACACTATCACCATCACAGCCATTACCACCATCACCTCCACCATGAGTAACATCAATCATCAATCAGCCGGTCTCTATATTAATAACAACAACACACACACTACCACCATTACCACCACTACTAACATCGATAATCGATCTTCCAGTCTCCAGAACCACAACACGAGCCACGCCAATGGACCCTCTTCAGGGCCAAACGACGATACACCAGATAGGCCCTGGGACGAGGATCCTCCGACAACATTGAGGGACACTCCCAGGCGAAGTGCGAAAGCCATACCCTGACTTGCCAGGAAAAGGCGAGACACAAATAATGTTGTCCCCCACCTGGTCGGTCTGTATGGGATCGAGTGTTACCCCTCGCACACAGGTGGGTTTTCTCCGGGCGCTCCGGTATCCTCACGCATGTAATCACTCGTTCGTTGGCCGATGAACGAGCCGTCTATATGTGCGACTTCTCGACGCATTCGTTCGGCGACCGGAAGCCAATGCGGCTCGGCGGGGACTGGGCGGATGCGGTCGGACCTTGAAGCGCCCATCACGAGGGGCGCCAGAGGAGTTTTTGTACACGAGATGCGGGAGTCTGACAAGCAGCATGAGCTCCCCTTCAAAGGATTCTCACCATAGTCAATGACGATCTCTTCAAAGCTGAGAACGAAAGAACAAAAAAAGACATTGCATAGCAAGTCAACTGCGGTCCATTCTCCCGTAACTGCACATATGCGTGTTGTTGTTTTCATAACGGAAATAGGATATACAGTTGATCATTGATTATCTGGCGTGCGATCATGCAGCTTATAACTTTATCTGGTGGTCCCGAACTGATTCGGCGAAACGGGCAAAACCGCTAGAAAAAGGCTGTAACCCAGTCCAGCAATCGGAACCATGTGCGTGACAAAAAAAGTAGCTATGCTTGATTTCAGTGTCAAATATATATGGAACATTATACACTACATACAACAACTTAAACAATGAACATTCTGCAGTCTTCCAGATTGGAGTGGTAAGTACGGTACAGTAAATACAGTAACTTTTAAAAGTAGGATGTTTATTTTGTCTTTTGATTTTTATTTATGCCAATTTCACATAGTAAACAAATTTAAAATACTAAAAAAACCTTTTACACAGCACCTAAAACATGTCATGCAAGAATGTGCAAAAAATTTCTATTTTAAATAAAGACAATATGGTGATTATGGGGCGTTTTGTAAAATCCGGCGCGCCCTTACCCCCCGAAGCCACTGGATAATCTATGATTGACTGCGTAACGTGATCGAGAGACATCTCTGCCACTGACGCTGGTGCCAGGGTTATTGAGTTTTTGTATCAGGTTGATTCAAACTCAAGACGGCAGACCGGGGAGAATTGGCTGCCTTCGAGTTCAACATAACAAGGGCTGAAATACAGGACCTGTCCAACGCCATGAGGAGATCATCTGCCATGCAAATCAAGGCGGACTCAGTTGCACGATCGGCCCTGAAGCCTGATTGAGTTACAGCAAAGAAGCATTCGGCCTCAAGACACGACTCCAACTGGGAGGAGGCCACCCTTTCTATAATCTTCCCAAAAAATTAAGATTGGAAATTGGGTGATAGTTAGCCAGGATATCAACATCCAGAACCGTTTCCTTTAAAAGTTGTCACACTAAAGCCTTTTTCAGGGTCCCAGTGTAACAGGCCATAGTATACCCACAGGCCGTAGTATACCCGGGGTTAAAATGGCCTAGGCTAGATTATACCCGGGTATATCATGGCCTAGGCCAATTTATACTCTGGGGTATATTATGGCCTAGGCCAAATTATGCCCCTCTAGGCCAAATCATACTTCCATGATAGTAATAGTGTTGAGCGATATACACATGAATTCCTAAATGTTTCCAACATTTTATTTAAAACTGTAAACACATAGACTTTGATTACTTCAACCAGAAAAACTTTAATAATAACCCTAACCCTAAAAATGCTTCATTTGATCAAACTGTGATTCTTACTTCCATTTATACGCCTTTTAGATATCGATTGAAGTTCGTTGTCGGCTGTTCTCTGTATGGATAATTGCCTTTGAACTTTCACATGGGGCATATTCTGGCCTGGAGGGGTATGGTCTGGCCCAGTCTAGTTTAAACCCCCGGGTATGGTTTAGCCTAGGACACTTTATCCCCCCGGGTATACTCTGGCCTGAGCCACACTATACACGGGTTTAATCGGGGCAGGGGTTATTTTAGCCTGTTACACCGGGAACATTTTTTTTGAGAGGGAAGAGTTGACCAATTCGGTCACCATTGGGATCACTGGCTCAAAGGCCTCCTTAAGAAGACAAGAGGGACAGGGATTTAAATCACACGTGGTCCATTACATCCCCACAATAGTCTGTATGGCAGGACCAGTAAAAAAGCCTCAAAGACGAGAGGAGCCCTTGGGTCCAAGTAATGCGATTGATCTTATTAGCAAATAACTAATGAAAATCTTTAAATTGCTCTCCAGAAGAAGCAACCTTTATGGACGTAGAGTTTGGTGAATCATCCCGTTATTGTGTAATGTGCCATATTTTATTTGGTGTTTAGTGAAGAAACGGGCAAGTTAGTTAAGCTACGAGGTGTCTGACCCACGGCAATTCCCAGGAACCTAACACGACAATCCCCTGCGGGTTTTGCGAGCGAATTCCGTGTAGACAGTTTGTTGTTGTTGTTCACCCCTCACATCATCGAAAGCGTTCACCTCTGGCTTGGAGTGCCCTCTGCACAACGCACGCGATGACGGCACCCAGAGAGATGGAGCCGATGGATATCACGATAACCGTGATGGAAGATGTTGAGTTAGATGCAGTAGTCACATTGTCTTCCATGGAGACATCTGCGCAATGGAGTTCACGTGACATTGTGGTTAGACGACTGGATCTGCACTGCGCAAGGTTGCAACTTCATATCCTGCTTGTGTGACAAATCAGCCGACGGAGGTGTTTTAAGAGACATGGCCATATTTCTGATCACAATGGAGTTGTTTTTAAGAGACATGGCCAGATTTCTGAAAACAATGCACTTTGAGTGGTGCTAAATCCATGATGTAGCAGAACCAGACTGTATTCGGGAAGATATTGCCAAGAATTGTCACCAGAAAGTGTTTCCGTGCCAAGTTTATATTCTGACATTAATAAAAAAAAAACCTGATCATCGCTCCCCCTACTGGATAACAAGCGATGGGAATTTATATCATATCAAGGACCGAGGATACATGCGTCTACAAGGATATGTTCTTTTTCATTAAACACATGTTATCGAGCATTTAATTTTTTGTCTGATGAACGAATTTTCATTTCCTTAGCCATGGCTGATCATAATGAATGCATTGCAATTGACGATTGTCCTCAAGTTGACCCTGTGCGTCGTGGCGAACAAAGAGGGCATGGAAATGGAACTTTGAGACGGGTGACTGTGCATTAGAGGGTCGCCTGTGTACACGCAAGCTCGAACGTATGGCCCACGTACCGTCGACGACCAGGAGGGTTCCAAGTTGGTCAGCGTAATTATACTCTCGGTTTCCCTCTTGGTTCATTTTCAACTCTTTGATATGACAGAAGTAGGCATTTGTGTCACTACAGTTCAGGTTGGTGATGTTGATGCTCGCTTCCCCCTTGGTTGGGTCTCCAACCAGTCTCAGTCGATCCTGGAATTTCCCTTCGATGTAGTTATTTGAACTGTTGAATATGAGCAGTCCCTTGTTGACCTCCTGGAGTCTCCACTCCACGTGGACTTGGTTTGAGAGAGAATTAAGCGAGAAGGTGCAGGGCAAGAGGGCAGAGCTGCCCGCCATGCCCATGACGAACCTCTCAGTACAGATACTCGTCCTGTAGCTGAAATTGGAGCACTGAAGACTCCCGTCTCCCTCAGAGACTGCACCTGAAAAAGAATGCGAATGAGATTGGTTCTTTGACAGCATGAGTCTGTGATGGAGTGCTAATAGGAGGTAGATTGAGGGTTTGCACTGAGAGCACAATGTACATGGTCCCTGGTAAACTACATGGCTATGAAGGTGGAGTGACATATATTGGGTCACGTTGGCGCCCAGCGCCAGTTACTGATAGAGAGAAGAACTGGATTGTAATTAGCCCTCTCTGCCAGCAGGGTGTGCTTTGCAATGGTAAATGGTCCAGAAGGAGCATGGTTATAGCGGCGGGCAGAGAGAGAGCATGTGAAGACATAGCAGCCCGATTGGCAGGCAAGGGCACGTGACAGAACAGGGTAAGGATGTGGGCCAAAGGTGACAGAAGGGACATGTGATGGAAGGCCCAGAGTCTTCTAGTGAGTTCTAGAAGGGGGCATGGTCGTGGCGGAGCCAGGCCATGCTGAATGGCATAAAAGGGAGGTCCCGAGGTCCGATCCGGGCTCTCTACTGGAATGGAACCCGTCGTGCTACGTCCGTTCGCTCTTCGGTCTTCATGCTCGGCATCGTGGCTCAGGCAGTGTGTTAACTGATCTAATCCGATTATGTAGTTACCCCGTGGTGGTTACTGCTATATAGTTATCCCGTTGATACATTTATGTAGTTATCCCATTGTGGTAATAGAATAAACGTGTTGCCTCCTAAGTCAAGTGTGTCTCTCAAGTGAACCCACTATATCTGGCAAGCACATTAATCCTTTTCCATTGTGATGACGTACGTTATGTCATCAGTTTTTCTTCTGATTCCGTAACAGAAGATGTACTGAGGCTCCCACAAGGCCATGCGGTGGAGGGTTGTGTTCTGCCCCACGGCAGATATGGGGGTATGTTCACACAGGAACTTCCTGATATGATGGTGTTGAGTTTGGTCACGTGACCAGGAAGTTACGAGTTAAGGATCTCTAAGTCATGAGGCCAGGCATGGGTGTCAGCCATTACACAGAGTACACAATGGAGGCACAATTAGCGTCTCAGTGAAGACGGGTGCATCTGTCCATTGCGGGACTTTAAGAAGCATTGTCTGTAAGTTCGTTTATGTTCTTATAATACCAGTGTGATGGCAGTGCGGAGCGATAGTGGGACAGTGTGGCTCCCTGGGACCATTGTTACTAATGGATGAGCTAATGAGGATTAATGAGACAAGAGCCAATAGCGGGGAAGGACGAGCTGATGAGGGTAATGAGACGGGAGCCAATGGCGGGGAAGGACAAGCTAATGAGGGTAATGAGACGGGAGCCAATGGCGGGGAAGGACAAGCTAATGAGGATAATGAGTTGGGAGCCAATGGCGGGGAAGTGTGAGAAGGGTGGTGGGAGGCAAGGCCAGGTGCGGTGAGGAGGATTGAGACATAGGGCGTGGCCAGACCGGGCGAGGATAAATCGCAGTGTGAGTGGAGGCTTGGGGCTGCTTGGTGTGGGGAACTGCCATCGTCGTCACCTGGGATCGGGCTGTCTCCATTGCCTACAAGTTGCCTGGAGCTTGGAAGCTAGATTGTCTCCGAAGTAGGGTTGTGTCTCATCACCTGAGTGTACGGAGTCACTCGTATTACGTGTTGAGTTGTTATTGGACTTTATTCGGAGACGGACCAAGCAACTGTAAAGGCAGAATATATAAAGATATTCGTACAAGGATCTGAACGGTCTTCACATCATGGCATTGGAACAGCTGCAGGTCAAGGCCAGTACTACTTTGAATCAGCTGCAGAAAGCCCAGCTCATGGAAACATGCAGATATTTGAAGTGTTTCAATGATGATGAGACTGGTGAAGATAAAAGCAGACGGGCTTTGATTCGTATGGCAGAAAGAGTACTTGATGGAGTTGAAGACCAAGAAGAAGATGAAGAGGCCTGTGCATATATTCAAAACCTGCTGTCTTTCATTGAAACAATACAGCAGAAAGACAAAGACAGCAGTGGAACAAGTCAAACACTGCCACCATCAAAACTTTCTGAAGATATGGATGGTGAAATACAAGAGTCACAAGAAGAATCCAGAAAAACCCTTGAGGAAAAGAAAATCTCAAGTGAAGGTGGAACAAAAACCACAGCAGCATTGAATCCCATACGAATGGCCAGACTAGGAAATGTGCCGGAAGTCACAATATGGAGAGAATTCAGGATCTGCAGGCAGATTGGTGAAAGAGGGCAGAAAGACAAGTTATCTTACACCAATCTGATGCACCAGATCGACACAGGAACCCGTAAGGGACATGCCGAGTCTGACATCATTGAGGCAGTCGTCAGAGCAATCAGTCCTGGTCTAAATTTGAGGGACATGCTAGAAATAATTTTTTTGACTATTTTCAAGTTAAAAACCATTTTGAAAGGACACTATAGAGAAGAAAGCACATCTGATCTCTATCAGAAGTTGATGAACATCTCTCAGGAGCCAAGAGAAACTGCACAAAACTTCCTGTTCCGAGCTATCGAATTAAAGGACAGACTATTATTTGCATCTAAAGAAAAATGAGCTGATGACCAGTACAATCCAGATATGGCACGCAGGAAGTTCCTGAGATCGATTGGCACAGGATTGCTCAGTGACTCTATAAAATTCCAAATAAAGCCCCATCTGGATGACATCACTGTCACTGATGAGATGCTGATTGAAAAAGTCAATGAAGCAGCCAGCTTGGAACTTGAGAGACAAAACAAGCTAAAACAGAATTTGGCTCCCAAAATAACTCGGATGAATGAACTGCAAGCTGAGTTGACAGGGAGTAGGGAAGGCTGTCAGCAGGACTCACAGGGACCATTTAAAGTGGTTACATCACCAATACCACCATCCAACAACGGAAATGTCAGGACCAAAGAAGAGGGCAACAAAACATCAGCAACTGAAAGGCCATCTCGAGATTGAATTGAAAAGATGGTAAGCGAGTTAAGGGCTGAAGTTGCAGAGATCAGGAAGAGGTGGCAGGATGATGTTACCCCAGACACCAAGCGAGGACACTGGAAACAACCAGCCCAAGACAGAGCAATATGACCAAGAGGGTGTAGGATGTGCCAAGAGGCTGGAGCAGGTGGTACATGTAACCATTGTTTCAAATGTGGCCAGCCGGGACACCTGGCCCGTGGATGTCGAGCCTCTCGACAGCAGCAGGGAAACTGGCTAGGGTTGCTACGGGGGGACCAGCAGTAACCTACAAATCAGGGTCCCAAGGGTGTCATTACTGTTTCCGTGAAGAGAATGATGTTGTAAGACTGCAGAAGTGCCAGGGTTGTCACGCAGTACAGTACTGCTCGAATACCTGCCAAAAACGACACTGGCAAGAACACAAGGTACTCTGCAGAGCAATCAACACATTACAGAAGAAAACAGAATGTCAAAAGACACCAGAGTGGAGGAACCCAAATATGGGCAAGGTTAGCTTTCTCAGGCCTAAATGCAACAACAGACTGTTAAAGTTAATTGGGAAAAGATGCATGGTGAAGTGTTTACTGGATCACGTATCAACCTCTGCCCTCTGGGACACAGGAGCTCAAGCCAGTGTTATAAATGAAGCATGGCGAAATAAGCATCTACCTAAGTCAAGAGTGAGACCAGTTGAAGAGCTCTTGGGGACGGGTACAATTAATGGAATGGCAATTAACCAAACAGAAATACCATTCACAGGTTGGATAGAGGTGGTATTCAGATTGAACAGTAATATGGGGACCAGTCAGTGCTTTCTCATTCCAATGCTGGTATCCAGTGACCCCAGGGTTGCAGAAGATCCCATTATTGGTTTTAATGTCATCGAGCAGGTCATCAATGGGCTGGTGGAAGGAGGAGAGACATTTGCGGACCCCATTAAAGTGGGGGTTGTGGGTGAGGCTTTCTCCATTACTCCAGGAGACACAAACGTCCTCATCCACCTGTTGTCTTCTGGCAACCGGGACCGTGATGGTGGGGCAGTCAAGACAGGCAAACAGAGAGTGGTGCTACCACCAGGGCAAGTCACAATGGTTCGAAGTCGTGCTCATTCAGGACAGCTGGGGGGAAATTAAGTGATGCTGTTTTTCCCTGAAGAGAAGCCCCAATGGCCAGAGGGTTTACACATCAACGAGGTCCTGGTGACACTGAGTAGAGGCAACTCATCCTGCATACCAATCGCAGTGATCAACATAACCAAACACAGCATCACACTTGATTAGCGGGTCACCCTAGGACAATTACAGCCTGTGAAATCTGTGTATCCAGCAGCAGTAAGACCTGTGGCGTACCACCAAGGCACCCCTAGTCAGGATCAGAGATGCCAACAAACACAGGATGGCCACAAAACTGGTGGAGCAAAAGCTCAGGGGCTGCAGCTGAGGCCAAAAATTAAAGAGCAATGCGAAAAATGGGACCCACTGGTGAACCTGGACCACCTAACAAAGGAGCAGCAAATGGCAGCCAAGATAATGCTCAGAGAGGAATGCCATTCTTTTTCAAGAGATGACAATGATGTTGGGAGCATACCTTAATTGAAAATGCATATCACCCTCAAGGATAGGACTCCAGTGCAAAAGACGAACATTTCCGTCCTAAAACCATTGCATAATGAAGTGAAGCAGTATCTGCAAGACTTGATCAATCGAGGCTGGGTGACAAAATCGAGATCATCATATTCTTCACCCATAGTCTGCGTAAGGAAGAAAGACGGAAACCTGAGACTATGTTGTGATTCCCGAGAGCTGTTCCAGAAGTCGGTTCCTGACAGGCATCCCATCCCAAGGATCCAAGACATGCTTGACAGTTTGAGTGGGAGTTCTTGGTTTTCGGTTTTAGACCAAGGGAAAGCCTACCATCAAGGCTTCCTCGATGAAGAAAGTCGCCCCCTCACAGCTTTTATCACACCATGGGGATTATATGAGTGGGTGCGTATTCCCTTTGGTTTGAGTTCAGCACCAGCAGAATTCCAGAGGAGCATGGAGGACTGCCTGTCTGGCCTTCGGGACAAAATCTGTCAGCCTTACCTGGATGACAACCTTGTTCATAGCAAGTCCTTTGAAGATCATGTGTGGCATGTACAAA